CAATCCCTTACATTATGATTTCCTAGACACCTGATACATCTAGCAAGCTCTTCCAATCTTTCCACTTTAACATCCCATGAATTATAGGCATTACAGTTCTTAGAGAAATGAGTACCGTTGCAGAAGATACAATCTCTCCTTTCTTTGCCTGACCTCTTATCAACTGGGCTACCCTTATTGTGGTACTTCCTCCTCTTGCTTGGAGGTGGAGAACCACTATAACTGGCACCTGTCACTTGATACGTGCCTACGTAACCCCGTGTAGTAGGTGGCTTAGGATTATTGATATTAGGATAAGGTTTCCCTTTGTGGAACTTGGCAGGTGCACTGGGGTCTGTAGACGTGGTATTCCAAAGAGGTAATGGGTTGGCTGGTCTGCAGTTGGACAATTAGCTCTTGCAGTCCCACTCTTATTTCTTCCAACCTGAAGTAACCCTTGTGATATCTGTTAGATAACCACTCTATGGTCTTGTGGTTCAATTTATTCTGAATCAAGGCACTCAACAACCACTCTGCTCCCTCCAGATCATATTTATTACTCAAGGTCTTAAGAGTGCTTCTAGTTTGATCCTAAATTGCTGTAAAGCTGTTGCGGTTGTGATCTGGAGTCTTCAAATAGCCAAATTAGCTACTAGGTCCAGCCTACTTTGCTCCAAGTTACCGTAAGTGACCTCCAACAAGTCAACTGCCTCACTATAGGAGTCATTACATTTGGGAATGCTTGTATGAGAACATGCGCATCTCCCCTTACTTGTCCCTTTAAATAGCATAATTTGGTAACACTTGCAAGATCACTCCTATCATGTACGACTGCTTTAAAGATAGACCAAAACTCCTCCCAGTGTTCTCCCGGATTAAACACCAGGCTACATAATTTGGGAGTTTTGGTAGACGCTCTGACTTTCCTTATAGGTTGACCAACAACATTGTTTACACCCTTTACCTTCTCCAAAGCCTTAGTTTTGCAGGACACAATGTTGTCCTCACTTTTATAATGTTGATCCAGCAGTCGCTCCCTTTCAGCATCATCTGCACAATTCTCTAGCAGCTCTTTTTCATAGTCTTTAAACCACAATCTATATGACTCATGTCTATTTCCTAAGGCATCTAGGTGTAGCTTTTTAATTCATCAGGGTTTACCCTTTCTTGTTTCATTAACTCCATACACTTCTTGTATGATTTAGTAACATGACCCTTCCGAGCTTGTAGTGACGCTTTCTTTGCTTTGGCATCCATGGACTTGCCAGTCGCACTAACTTCCTCAGACCCAGCCATGGTTAGGGAATTAATAATCACCCATTATACTACTTAAGTAGACGCCTTATAAGAGTAATTCTTGCACTTTACTCTTGTATAAATCCTAGCACCCCTGTGCTAGCAATTATTGGGCTAATTATCATCCATCACACGATCGATTAAACTGTGCACCCTACACCGACTTCCTTTCAATCAGTCCACTTAATTATTAAGTAATTAACTCCAATTAATTTTTTCACTGATTGCATCCGGTTCCGAGGACACATCGGGCAGATATGGAAAATTTTCTAGGGTGTTTATCTGTAGTACCTCAACCAAATAATACATACAAGTAAACTCATAGGGAGACAACCATATTGTTTTACCGGAGTCACCCGTGCAGACAAGTGAGATAAACTTAACCACCTCTGGCACTACAAGGTGCCCCTTCGACCTCACCGTCTTTCCATATCTATCCGAGACCAGTATGGATTGGGTAGGCACACACAGTACGTGCTACTAGTTTAATTGTGGACTGTATAGATTATAATAGTTTCGCGTGAAATGAAAAGGGGAGGGTAGGATACACCTGGATACAGCCAACAAGGAACATTGTACTTAATCCCACACTTACCAAAGTTCTCGGGGTGGTCACTTGATGGTAGCTGGATCACTCATAACCTATCCAATTTATAAAAACACACTGGCCAGCATAAGTTTGCTATAAACAAGAAGGGTTACTTTACTGGGAGATTGATACTCCTTATTTTCTTCCATTCACCATCTCAGTTCGTTGTCCTGCTACAACCGAACGGTTCTCATTTCCGGCAGGACAGGTATCCGTCGGTTTGTCGGGCGGTAAGAAGTCGTATTCCATAAATCTCCCTTATCCCCGGTAACGAGAGTCACACGTTCACATCGAAGCAAGCACTCATTTCACATCCGCCATTCTCATAACACAATGTATATCACTGATTAGCATTACCAATCACAAACGATATAACGTCTCATAACTATTACACAATTAGAGGTCACTCCATTAAGATCTGAGGCCGATGAGCGAGATTAACACAACGGGTATGGTCCCTGGACACACCCTGGCCGTGCACCTGACACCCGGTCCTACTCTTATCACACTTTTGTTACCACTCTATTTACCGTGGTCCGAAAATCACGTACCCTCACTCACCACCAGGAAACAGTTACGACTCTTCTTATTATGAAATGAGGCCTATATTAATCCTTTAGGCCGCCGTGAATGTCAATTTCGTGTTCCATGCTTCTCTCTTCTTCACCACATTCAAACAATCCGCGCCTTTCCTCCCCCGCACATCCGCGCATGCGGCTCAAGGAACTCTTGGTTCTACTCATTTCAAATACATTTTGACTCATAACAGCACATAAAACACCTATTAGCGCTATAGTTTCGGAAAAATTAAAAATTTTTCCACAATAAAATCGCCTAGCTTACACCCACAACAAGAGGTGTCTCTGATTGCCTCTGTATGTAATGCAGGCGTTTCTAAAGAACGTAAAGAACTACAAGTGAATTCCATATTTCGATTATTTATTATTATAATCAAAAAGAAGCGCTAGGGGGGGGGAGCCACAAAGGGCTATACAGCATTCATATTTCGAGATTCTCGAGGTTACGCGGGAAGCATCGCCACTTACCCTGTTGTGTATTTCCTCCACACAAAAATATGACACGAGCTTCTTGCACCGGGTGACGAGGTTATTTTTTGCTTCTCCAAGGAAAATCTTAATATTGATGGCTGAGTCAGTAGCTATCTGAATAGGTTTCGCAGAAAATACAACAGAAATGATACTCCACTTTGTTGACTGGAGGCCCAAACCTTCCACATGTAGGCTCTTAGCCTTCACCACTCCCCCACCCACTTCCCTTCATAAGAACAGCAGTAAACAGGCAGCATAGTATCCTTGGAAAAAAACATCAATTACTCTACAATGGAAGAGCCTACCAGATACATTGTGCTACCAGTCAGCAACATGGCTTTGACAACTGGTAACTAACACACATGCAAACTACAAATAATGACCAAGTGTCTTTGACAACTGGTACCTGTTAATAAAATAAGGAATATCCACTAGGAATTTTTATTGACCTAAGAAAAGCTTTTGACACAGTAGACCACGGCATCCTACTCCACAAACTTGACCATTATGGTATAAGAGGCCATGCGCTTGCATATTTCAAATCTTACCTTACTAATAGGTATCAGTATGTCACCATTAAAGACACAGCATCAACAACACAGCCACTTGATACTGGAGTTCCGCAGGGAAGTGTCCTTGGTCCCCTGTTCTTCCTCATACATCAATGATCTTCCAAACGTATCTCAACACCTGAACCCCATTCTCTTTGCTGACGACACGACATTGTGTCATCTCTCACCCTAATCTTGCCACCCTCAACACCATTGTTAATGAGGAGCTGATCAAAATATCGACTTGGATGACAGCCAATAAACTTACGCTTAACACTGACAAAACCTACTACATTATGTTTGGTAGCAGAGCAGGAGATGCGCAAATTAACATTAAGATCGACAACACTAATTGCCAGGCATAATGAGGGCAAATTCCTAAGCCTATACCTCGACAACAACCTGAACTTCAGCACCCATATCCAACACAACCAAAAAAATATCCAAAACGGTTGGGATCCTCTCCAAGATAGGATACTACGTGCCACAAACTGCCCTTCTCACACTATACCATTCATTTATATATCCATACCTCACCTATGCTATCTGTGCTTGGGGTTCAACTGCAGCAACACACCTAAAGCCAATAATAACCCAACAAAAAGCCGCAGTAAGAATAATCACTAAATCCCATCCCTGGCAACACCCCCCCCCCCACTCTTCATAGATCTAAACTTACTCCCTGTTCAGTACATCCACACTTACTACTGTGCAATCTACATCTACAGGACCTTAAATTCCAATATTAACCTTGACCTAAAACACTTTCTTGATAGTTGTGACAGAACCCACAGGCACAACACCAGACACAAACATCTCTATGACATTCCCCGTGTCCGACTAAACCTTTACAAAAATTCAATGTATGTCAAAGGCCCTAAAATCTGGAACACCCTACCTGAAAATTCTAAAACTGCAGACAATTCATCACCTTCAAAACTACCATCAGAAAACATCTTATCTCCCTGATACACCCTGTCAACTAATTACACGAATACCACCTGGTGGTTAACACTTAACACTCACTCACCCATTTGACCATAAACAGAAATATCAATCCTCAATCTCAAATAATGAATCTTAACTATCTAAGTTGGCTGTGATACTCCAATACTGAAACTATGTATCTGGAGTTTATCTGGAGTGAGTTCCGGGGGTCAACGCCCCCGCGGCCCGGTCTGTGACCAGGCCTCCTTAGGTCAGTGTCCCAGGATGCGACCCACACCAGTCGACTAACACCCAGGTACCCATTTTACTGATGGGGAACATAGACAACAGGTGGAAAGAAACACGTCCAATGTTTCTACTCTGGCTGGGAATCGAACCCAGGCCCTCACCGTGTGAAGCGAGAGCGTTAACCACCAGGCCACCAGAGCCAAAACAAAAGCATTCACATTGCTAAACTCACAAACTAGTATTTAGTCACTTAGCCATAATACCAACTTACCTCATAATTTTGTAATATTTTAAACTTAAGATTTAATTTAAGTCTGCCCGAAATACCTAGCCATGCTAGGTGTTCTAGTGGTACACTCTGCAATTATTATTTTACTACATGTAAACCACACAATAACCAAATTCTGTAAACTCAGCATTGTAATCCTTAGAGAATAAACTTTGAATTTGAATAAAGAGGGCCTGACTCACCCTGTCAGCGGCCACCCCTCCTCGCAGTGTAGGGTACTGCCAGTCGAAGTCAATACCATCGAAGTTGTGTAAAAGTAGCAGCCGTATGGTGGACTCTATGAATGTTTGTCTATTGGCAGCAGTTGATGCCATCTGTGGAAAGTCAGAATTAATAACTAGATATATACACTACGTAAAATAGAAAACATTTTGCAATCACGTGACTAAAGTTAACTAATTTACACTGGTCGGCCATACTGGACGTGACTCCGGGCAAACTTGTATAGATAAACTATGAAATAAACTCACAATTTATATCTTTGTGGTGAATAACATCTACCAACACTTTAAGACTGGGTAGTAGCCTACGTCATTAGTGAGCACCTGTGCCGGTGAAAATAAGGAAAAATATGTATAGGAAAAGCAAACTTCTTGTATGTACATCAAGTACTTGATAAATCCTCTTGTAAGTGAGGAGTCGTATTCAATAAAAGGTCAGCCTTTGCTGAAGGTTTTGCTTACAGCTACTGTCATTGCATTGTGGGGCTACCACGCCATCCCATAAGCATGTGCAGTGAAGTACCCACCAGTATGTACTTTATCCATCCATCTGTCAATTGATTTTAACGTCTGATTCCTCATTTACCAGGGTTGTGGAGTCTGAGTCAGCAGTAATTCTTGAGTAACTGGAGTCAGAGTCGGTAAAATTGTACCGACTTTGACTCCTAATAAATTTAAAATGTATAGAATATAAATTAAAAATACTTTAATCTGGAAAAGGAAGGGTTATTGTACCTGAGTTCATTTCTTTTAAAACGGTTATTTATTAAGTTTATTTAGATATTCAATTGCTTTACTTTTTTTGTAGTTTTAACTTTGAATTCTTTTTAGTAATATCAAAAGATTTACTTCAGATTTTTTAACTAGCTGGGAAAGATATTTCTCAGATTTTCTTTTATAGTTTCTTTCTTATACATCCTGTTACTTTATACCTGACAGTCTGTTTATAAAAATATATCGAGTTTTGGACTATGTTTAACTATAAGGTTATTGAATGTTTGTAATTTCTTTAATAAAAAGAGCCAAAATGGCATAGTTATAGCATTTAGAGCCAAGCTTTAATAGGTTATTGAGCTTGTAAGTTGCATGCTTGCAATCCATATAGCAAATATATAATAAGTATATTTATAATTTATCCCCTATATCGATACATAATTAAAGGAGTCAGAATCGAGGGTTTGATGTGCCAACTCCACAGCTTAATGGCTCACGTGTTCTCTATGAACATAAAACACATTAAGAAACAAACAGTACATACATAGGAGTATTTGGTAGATCCTTCGTTCCAGCCTCCCACACCCAGCAGGGTTAACAGGGCAGCATTTTGGTCCTTCAAACCTGTGAACTTATTGTAGCCGCACTTGCCGTAGTTGTCGCACAGGTCATTATACGGGTCCAACACCTGCAATGTAGCATTATGGATGCCATAATGAAATGAAGCTTTGTAAATGATAACGACAAGAGGTTTAAAAAGACCCGCGAGCAAACACTGGAACATATTAGAAGTAATCAAGGTCCCAGGACAGACATTCTCTTAAGATATATAACCCCTCAAGGAAGGTTCCTTGATGTTGGTGAGGGGCTCTTGATTTAGGGAATTGGATCTGTGCTCCAGTTCCCCGAATTAAGCCTGAATGCCTTCCACATCCCCCCCCAGGCGCTGTATAATCCTCCGGGTTTAGCGCTTCCCCTTGATTATAAATAATAATTAAGATATATAGCCTATCGTTTTCCCACAGGTGCCTTGATGCCAGCGAGGAGGCGCCCTTGATGCATTCTCTCTTCTTAACCGGATGAAACCTAATTACCTCCCATTCTCATGCGATATTTGGCCTTAATGAGTTTAGCAGTTCTCCATGGACATAACACCGAGCGAGCCTACCTACCAGATACAGATAGATTCGCCAGCACATCCTTGCCCGGGTCTTCTCAATGTGGTGACCCAGCCACCTGCCTATGGACAAACGCTAAACCTGTTATAGATATCATGATCACAACATAATTCAAACAATTCTAAATCACTAGTCACAGTTCAAACAATATCCGTAATACCACAAGTCAGTAATTAAAAAAAAAAATTACCCCACTACTTGGGTCGAAAACTGGTATGCTGGATCCTCAGGTACTCGGTCCTTGTACGTCCGTAAGGACAAGTCGACCCTCCACCAGTCCTTGCCCTAGATAACCAACACGGACTTAAACTTACTAATATAATAATTAATATAATAATATAACAATATTAGATGCAATATTATATTAACATACAAGTGAAGGGTACACACCGCTATAGTATTGTTGGTGTTGAGGCCAGCGAAGCCGTACACAGCATGGGTACAGATGCTGGGATCAATGTTTTCCACGTCAAACTTGCCGTCGCTATACCTGTACGTTGCCCACGACCCGAAGTAACACACCATCGCGCTCTCTGAAGCAGATAACAGTACATACATACATATAATACCGAAGCAGGGTGGCCCGGAAAAGAAGAAATAAAAATTTTTCTTCTCTTTACATTTAGTAATTTATACAGGGAAAGGGGTTACTTGCCCCTTGCTTCTGTCATCATTTGAGTCGCCTCTTACAACACGCGTGGCTTACGGAGGAAGGATTCTTCTCCACTTTCCCATGTGGCAAATTCTATTATTCTCTCTGTAAAGGTGCCATAATTTTGTGTCAGGACAAGTACTTGCACAAACTAGATATATTTCGATTTCTGAGCAATCCGAGAAAGGTATCCCCCATATTGTATAGCCCCATTCCCTTGTGCCTCAATGTACGCAATTCGAATTGTGCAGAGTGCAGCATAAAATTGATAATGCAGTTAAATATTAACGTTGAAGATTTGATGAATGAAAATAGGCATCCACAAGTCATCATAAGGAAACTAATATTTAGCATGTGTAAATATCCTGGTGAACAGGATATTTACATATGCTAAATATAATTTAAACCCTTTTAAAGAGATCAAGAAGACAATATATTAAGCTTGAAGCCGCTCAGAAGTTACATTATACATTCATCAGCATGGTAGGCTTCAAGTTAATTAGATGTGACACTGAAATTATCACATGAAAAACAGTATTTCAATTTTTAGTTTCCAAAAATAAGCAAATTGGGACCCCACACAGGCGAAAAATCAATCCAAACTTTTCTCCAAGTAAGAGCGACCACCTTTTAAGAAAGTACGTAAAGTACGCAAGTTAAAAGTTACCTTACAAAATTTTGACAATAGTTTTGAGGGCACAGACGTTATATGCACATAAAAGAATATTAAGCTGATTTAAGAACAAAAAGGCACAATGCCGACCGAAACGTCGTCGTAAGCTCCTCTCTCCTACGTGCGGGTTATTTGTGTAAGATGATTTAACTTAGGATAATCAATGAAGTGAGACATTGTGACTTATTTCTGATAAGAAAAGACATTCGCTAACTAAGAAAAGACAATTCGCCAAATTGATACATAACTTACACAATCTAACATCAATATATTGTTTCCTTTGAGGAGAGCACACATCACCACTAAAATTTGTACGATGACCAGAGGATGCATTTTCCAGTTATTGGACAGAATCCAACAAAATTTGTGCCTATACAGCCTAAACACATGAAACGCTCCATCCATTTCATACGATACATCGGCCATTGAAGATTGATTCTAATCACGATTGTTATATTTTAAGCACAGGAAGGGCTAAACCTGTAGGGTTCATACAAGGTCAGTATAATGGGAGGCATTCAAATTCGATCCAAGCAAGGGGTAGATAAATGCAGTTCCTTGAATCAAGAGCCCTCCACCATCCTCAAGGGAAAATAAAATACTATACCATTTCGAGATTAAAGTGACAAAATGTCATCTACAAACTCATTAAATGTACCAACTATCTTCTAAGTAGGATACAACAATATTGAAATTTTGAAGCCTGTCAGAGGAGCCCGTCTCCACCAATAATCACATGGAAACTAAATTTGGGAATGGCCTATGTAATACTGTGCATAGGGAACGTTGTTTTCTAATTTATTTACTTGTTGGTTGTCTGAACTATTATCTACAATCGTCTCTACTCACTGATCAATGTAAGAATAATATAAACTACAGTCAGAATAAGTGGAACTCATTACTTACAAAAACAACAGATCAAGAAACAATTGCTTGGTTTATAAACACCCTTAGGTCTGTGTACATCACGTGTGTACGGATGGTACAGCCCAGTAGTGTACACTGATGACAGTCCAGTAGTGTACACTGATGACAGTCCAGTAATGTACACTGATGACAGTCCAGTAGTGTACACTGATGACAGTCCAGTAGTGTACACTGATGACAGTCCAGCAGTGTACACTGATGACAGTCCAGCAGTGTACACTGGAATTTACCTGGAGAGAGTTCTGGGGGTCAACGCCCCCGCGGCCCGGTCTGTGACCAAGCCTTATGGTGGATCAGGGCCTGATCAACCAGGCTGTTATTGTTGGCTGCACGCAATCCAAAGTACGAACCACAGCCCGGCTGGTCAGGTACCGACTGTTGACAGTCCAGCAATAATAATGCACAACCCGCACATAGGAGAGAGAAGCTTACGACGACGTTACGGTCCGACTTGGACCATTTACAAAGTCACACTTTGTAACATGCCGGCCCGAAACGCCGTCGTAAGCTTTCCTCTCTCCTACATGCGGGGTTATTTGTGTATTGTTCTAGTCACGTTATTGTGCCTTTCTGTTCTTTAGTAATATTAATAACAATAATCATTAGCAACACTTGCATGTGAGAGGACAGAGAATGTATTGGAGCCAAACATCTCTAACTCCACTCTTAAGAAACTTATCCCACTTAATGTTAGCTGGAGTAGTCAAAACGTCAGTCATCTACAGTCATTGTGCCAATCATCCCTTGGCAGAGCCGCATGAACCTTCCACTAGATTAAGTGACGGTGGCTGCCAGAATCAGCCAGGAAAACCGTCACCTGTGGCAGATAAATATGATATAGTAGGTGTACCTTCTAACCTTCAAGGATATATACGAGAGGTGTATGTCTGTCTTACCTTTGAGGATATATACAACGAGAGGTGGTTTAGAAAGACACGTAAGCAAACACTATAACATATTTATTAGAAAACGTTTCGGTCCTTGGACCTTGATCACTTCTAACATGTTAGAAGTGATCAAGGTCCCAGGACCGAAACGTTTTCTAATAAATATGTTATAGTGTTTGCTTACGTGTCTTTCTAAACCAACTTGTCGGTATTTATTACCAAGGTTTATACCACAACGAGAGGTGTATATCCCTGCGTAAACATGTGTCGATAGTTCAATTTAGTTTTTATTTAAAGTATGAAAATATTCTTAATTAACTGGTGGTGAACAGGTTACATTAAGCCTTAATGACTTTCGTATAGCCGTTAGGCTTTCAATGAAATTAACCAATCAACTAATCTAACCATGAAAGTGATATGATAAACTTTGTTTCCATAAGGTAAGCCTTACAATTGGTTAGGAATATGTGATATTATCGATATAGTTTACAGACAGTCCCTTGTTACGTAGAGCATTCCAGGCAACCTTAAGTAACTTATAACTGCGGGTGAAATTTTTGCAAAAACAATTCGTTGTTAGTTTTAGTAAGACAATTTGCTATAACATTTGCGGAGGCTATTACGAATGTTTTATATATATATAATATATATATATATATTTATATATATATATATATATATATATATATATATATATATATTTTATTTAAAAACAGTACAACGTGAAATAAAAAAAAAGAATATGGAATCAGTTCTTCCACAAAATTTCATAATTCCTTTGGTATAATACACTGGGAAGTCTGTGTATGTACACAAATTGTTCCACCCCCCCCCCCCCCCGTGTTATTATATCCCTATTCTAAGTTATATAATGGAACACTAGATTTCACATTTATCTACAAAATTCATACCATATACATTATTATACTTATGCAAAGAACCCTAGACCTACCATATGCATTAGTGCCTCACTTTTCATGTTATTTATGTTTTCAGTACCACTCAGTACACCTGCACTCCTGCCTGCTTAAGCGAAAAACCCCTTGTTGTCCTATAATTCGTGCACAATACGCGCCTCACAATGATGTCACTGATATATTATACATATACTTAAGTATGCATACACATGTGATAACAAGATTAATAGTGTATGTACTCATTTACCTTTATATCCAACTCATCTCCATTCACAACTCACGCTGATAACTAAGCTTTCAATCTAAGCTTTAATTGTGTAACATCCAGACAGTTCTGCGCTCACTCTAACCACCCCATGGAGTTTAAGTGTGCTCCGTCTTATATCGTCCATCCACAATTGGCACTCGTTACATATGCAAATTAGAAACCACTTGAGAAAACATTACCTACAATGCACTAATATGAAACTACAAATACATCTTCTAAGCATTTACCTTAGCAGGTACTACACTTGCATATATGATAAGCGACTGTCACACTCAGACATTTGGGATATACAAATCCAATGATGCACTTTGTAAGGATTTTTTTTTTTTTATATTTTATTTAAAAGACATACATAGTACAGGTTAGTGCAGGTAGCAGGTTGGTAGACAGCAACCACCCAGGGAAGTACTACCGTCCTGCCAGATGACTGTGAACAAAACCTTTTAACTGTTTTGCAAAGGAGGACACTTAGGAATATTAACTTGCTTCTTCACCACTATCATTACAAATAGTTATCATACCAAATAAGTCGAAAATGGCAAATATGATATCCATTTACAAAGAGGGAGATTTAGTCCTTAGCTTCGAATTTCAGACCAATGAACATAACCTCAACTGTGGGAAAGCCGTTGGAATCAACAGCAAATGATGCAGTTCGAAGCGACCTTGGAAGATATAATTTGATCAACAAATCTCAGCATAGTTTTAAGAATATAAGAACATAAGAAAGAAGGAACACTGCAACAGGCCTACTGACCCACGCGGAGCAGGTCCATATCCCCCCCAGATTAGACCAATGACCCACCCCCGGATTATCCCAATGACCCACCCAGTCTGGTCATTCCCACTCAAGGATGGAGCACTGTACCAGACCCAGCAGCACAAGCTAGTCAGGTCCAACTCACACCCACCCACACCCACTCATGTATTTATCTAACCTATTTTTAAAACTACACAACGTTTTAGCCTCAATAACTGTACTCGGGAGCTTGTTCCACTCATCCACAACTCTATTACCAAACCAGTGCATTCCTATATCCTTCCTGAATCTGAATTTTTCCAACTTGAAACCATTGCTGCGAGTCCTGTCTTGGCTGGAAATTTTCAGCACACTATTTACATCCCCTTTATATATTCCTGTTTTCCATTTATACACCTCGATCATATCCCCCCTAATTCTACGCCTTTCGAGAGAGTGCAGATTCAGGGCCCTCAGTCTATCCTCATAGGGAAGATTTCTGATACGTGGGATC